ACTGTATCACTTGGTATGGGATCAGAGAGTACAATGTGTCTTTGGTTAAAGGGACAGAGGTAGGAATTGTGCCACTTGGATCAGTCTGTTGCATCTTATTGTGAAGTAGTTGGAGACTACACACCAGCTATCTCTAATTTCTTAAGATAGTTGCACGTGGCAAACTTCACCCACTGGAAATCAATGTGCTGAAATCAAAGTTTTCATGATTTCCCTGGCTCCTATTTGAGGTTCAGGATTTTAACTTCACTTTTTTTTCTCCAAAATGTTATCACCTCCAATCGCATCCCCAGTGACTGAGGAAAAGGAAACATTCCAGACACTTATTTCCTTCTCCCTTATCAGAACTGAGTCAAGTGATCTTACAAGCAATCTTATCACATTAATCAGTTTACTTGAGGTAGATCTTTTATTAAAAATGCTGAATAAAATGAAGGGAAATTATATATTATTTTAAAATTGATGGGAGAGCTTTTCTAGAATTTTACACCTAATATGAATTACATTCCTCTGTCATGCTATGAAATGATTTACATTTTCCTCTTTAATTAACTACTTACATATTTTATTACTTTGGAGTGCTAGATACTGTATATTAATAAGAGCAAACTGTCCAAAAAAATTGTTCGCTTAGATAGAATTGTATACCTAATAACAATAATTTTAGGCAACTTAGGTTTTCAATCCTTGCAAAAGTTGCTGCAAAAGAATCAAGTAATTCAAAATGTAAAAATTCAGCATTTATTGAGTGAAGCCAGGATGACCCTTTTGTCCTTTTTGATGATGAATTGCTGTCCTTTCACTGCTACATTTTGTCAGTTTTGGTGCAGCAGAGTCGATACCTTCACCTTGACGAGAAAACTTTGTGATTTATCAGTTCCTCTGCCACCCAATACAACCACAACGTGGCTGAGCAGAACCAATCATGACACAGAGAACAAGGTTTGGTCACAGTTGCCTGGAAAAAAATAAAGCACCCTGTGATGATAGACAAATGTGTCTTGTTAGTAGCAGCCAAAAAGCGCTTGACTTGTACTAATAACAAAAAGGCCATGTTGGTCACCATGGGTCTAAAGACGAAGCACCCTGTCACCGCCCGGGTTTGGAAATTAGCAAATAATGTTCCTTTTTCTTGATAAATGGGTGACAGTTCTCTCTCACCAATCATTTTTAACATTTTGATGCATGCCTACCATCTCACCAGAGGAAGGGAAAAGTTTACCAGGACTCAATTTTCAGATGATGAATGAAGCAGGTCTAAACGTATGAGTTCTGTATGAAGGATAGTTCATTTAATGCAATTCTAGTAAATATGTGTCACTGATTAGGACAAATAGTCTGCTTGTGTAATAGCAAAAAGGTATGTCTTTTTTAATGTTTTCCACTCAAGACAAAAGCAGTAGAATAATACAAATCTATTGTCCAGCCTCGAAATCTGTCCTTGTCCTCAAATGCCATCATTAGCAATTACTCTTTTGGGGGTGTTCTGTTTTCCCATCAATAAGGATATTTTTAGAAAAAAAAACAACCAAGATATGTTTCTGAAAAATCCAATAAACAGGTTTTAAAGTATCAGCTGGAAGAGCCCTTTAAAATTGCCTGATCAGCTTTAAGGGACTTATTAGAGAGAAATTTATTGACAGGAGGATGAGCATATCTGTCCTTCTTTGATTTTTTTTAGTGCTTGCTGACAGCTGGTACCCACAACAGGGCTGATCAATGGATAACCAATACAGGTATCGGACATGGAAGAAACTGTTTTACAGTGACAAAAGATGTGACAGGGCAAGCAAGGTGAAAGAAACAATGCTCCTTAAATGAATGCGCCCTTTGAATGCAAGACAAAAACATAGCTGCAGGGATATAAATGTGACTCTTTAAGGGCCACTGCTGTTTTGCTGTTGGTGAAAGCTGTCGTCATACATGTTTGTTAAGATTTTGCAAGCTCAACAATTAACTCATGAATTAATTCTGCTCGTTGTTGAAAAATAAAAAAAACTCTTGCCGATTTTGTACGTTAGCCATACGTGTGTGATGTGTTAAATATTATACAAATTTCCTACAAGATGGTCCTAGTAATTTTTCCTGTATAAACAGTACATTATCTAAAGCAGAAGCCGGGTTACGGCACTTCTGATTAATTCAGTTCCACAGTAGCCCCATGCTATAAGTGGGACAGCACTATGTTAAAGGGCACTATAACAGGATTCCCATGTATATGTTCCAGTTAACAACAACTGCCTACCATGCTGTTTAAGGTTAACCTTAATCTGTAAATAATGTACACTGCAAAAAAACAGAATGACATTTGAATAAACAAAAAGATCTTCTGAAAGCACTTTGAATGTATTGTCCACAAAACTTAGGCAATAGATGAGAACAGGGATGGAGATGGAAGTTTGCCAAAAAAGGGGAAAGGTGCCACAGGGAAAATGTATGCTAAATGAGGGAACTGGACAATTTAGCGACTAGAAGTGGAATTTCTTGGTAATAAGCCAAAACCTACTCAAGTACAATCTACCTCTTTACCAAATATTCTGTTAAAGAAAACATAAATTGTGAAGAATCACTGGAGAGTAATGATTTCATAAGCCTGAAATTGAATGCAAGAATTTGTGCAGAAAACGATCATTTATGTTTGCAACTAGCAAAATTTCGCCCACAAATATTCAGTCAATTCACTTTACAGTCTATTCTGTGAAGCGCTTTGAGACGTCGAGAAGACGTGAAAAGCGCTATATCAAATGCAAGGATTATTATTATTATAAATGTGCTACAGGCCCTAGGACCCGTTCCATGTATTTAACATTGAGGCTTTTCTGCATCCGTTCAGAACATGTTCATGATTGGTTACCAGTATCTGTGTTTAGTTGCTGGGTTCAGTCTGCTGCAAACGACACGTTGACTCCTAGTAATTTGTGATAATTTCTATAATTGACCGAAAGAAGTTTCTAAAATGCGGGTGGGTCAACAAAACTTTCAGTAGAAGAGGTCAACACGAACATCTAAAAGAATTTTATTCATTGCATCTTGTGCAACTTTGCTTCAAGCAAAACAAACAATTTGCTTGAAGTTCCTTTTGTTCAAAGATGGCATTTACTCCAAAGAATTGCCATTATGTCAAAACAAAACATTTCCTTACTTTAAAAGATTTAAAATGTCATTTTACAAGATGGATGTAAACTGTAATCTTGTTTCAATTACCGGTGCAACAATTATAATTTGCAGTAATTAATTAATTCTGACCAATATTCCACTTCATTTAATTAAAAGTAAAATTATTTCAGTGATATTTTAACTTGTACTTTCTTCTAATAATATTCCTATATTTGGGGTCAAACACTCCTAACTTATGCTATAGTGTCAGATTACTCAATGTTTTAGTTTTAGTCCTATGAGAATTTAACATTTATATTGATGAATAAAGCAGGAATCAATCAAAAACACCATGGCATAATTTGTGTGAAAAAAGAGACCTAATAGTTAAATAATTATTCTTAAAAATAATTCACTATTTTTCAAATATTTAAATTATAATTCCATCTCTTGCTATTCGTTTGACCCATTTGTTGTTGAATGTGGCAACATATCTACTTAATTTAATTTTAAAGATAAGGCAATTTATACTGTATTTTACAGTCAAAGGCAATTTACTATTAAATGGCAATTACCCATAGTGTGATTGTTAATTCTGGCACTAAGTGCTAGTTGCTTGAAATTGTTAGTTCTCTCTCATTTTTGACCTTCTTACAAGAGGGTTAGGTGCACAGGGAATTAGAGGGACTTGTGTTGAAGAACTGGACATGTCATTTGTGACTCATTCTTTTAATTCACCATGCTAATCAACTGAACTGCTACTGTCTCCCATGGTAATTGTACCTTTATGATGACTGGAAGGGACAGGGGGGCGGGGCGGGAACACAGCAATAGTGGGATATAGTGGGATATATTTGTTCTGTCCTTGATGAGAATCATCACAATCCTCTTATACTGTTGGAATGATTTCACATTGCTTCCAGCAGCAGAGATTGAGAAGGGGAAGCTGGATTTATTCTACGTTGCCCCGAATCCCTTTCGCCAGAGGCTGAGGAGAGTTCTGTGGACGGGCAACTAATTGAATGTGCAGAGCAGAGCTCCACTCAATGATGTTGAGCTGTTTTTTCTAATGTTATTAAAGACCTGGGCATGCTGCCAGCTCCTTAATAACAAAAAAATGAAGTGTAAGTTTTTAATAAGTTTAAAAGTTTGTTGAAATCTGCTCGGGAATAATCAGATTTTAGCATCAATTCAACTCTAAACCACCTCCTGGAGGTGATTTCAGGAGTGGGGCTCAAAATCGAATCAATACCCCTAAAACCTTGATTTATACTGCACTTTTAGAGTTGATTTGATGCAAAAATTGCATTTAATCGACGCTAAAAGTGCAGTTTAAATGGGGCATTAGTATGTGTGACTAATGGTATTCTCCACAAGCTATTCCTTGAGATTTGGCATTTTAATAGGGCTGTAGATAAGCTGTTAATGTCTTAAGTTATACTATCCACAACCTATATGGCCTATACTACACTCTTGTTTCATTATCCTGCAGCCTCATTGCCCTGTGTCCCTCTTCATGCTGAGAAGGTTAAATGTTGGAGTGGCTAGTCAGACTGCAAGCTTGGTGGGACTCTGATAGAAAACAGCTGCCCAAGAGAATCAGTCCCTCCTCCTCATGGGTTCACATAATTTTCATATTGTGAAATACAGTGGGACTTGGCTCAGTTTTCAATGGTGAAAGCAATTTTCAATGATTATCTCATTGTCCCCATCAATTTAGGAGCACTCGAAATCAGACAGAAGCTTCCAGGTCAGACAGGGTACGACCTCACCTCCCCCTTCTCCCTGCTGGTCTATAAGTTCCTATTTCCTTCTTTTTTACCTCCTGAATTTCACATCTTTGCTCACTCATTAAATCTCTTTCAGACTTGCAGTGTTTTTTTAAAAAGAAAAAAACGACTTACCAGTGTAGACAAATCGGCCAGGAGCACCTTTGCAGAACTGCTTTGACTTGTAAGACAGAGTGACTTCTACCACTCCTGGAATGTGCCGAGGTGGTGTCTGAACTCTGATGGCGTGGGGAGTTATCAGCTAGAAGAATCATACAGTAAACAGGCTTAAGGTTGAGATGACAGAGATAGAGGTGATGCTTGCCATTTGAACGTAATTATGAAAATTAATCTAAATTGGTCACACATCAAAAACATTTGCCCTCCTCTTTAACATGCAGATCCGAGATCTATAGCTTGACAAAAATTCTTGTAAACGATCCTTGGTTTTAGCTTGCAGGAAAAGCCACAAGGCATCATTCACAGGAAAATTGCCTCCATATGTCTCCCTAAGCCCCATTCAAGTAATTTTCTAGTGCTAATTATTCAATTGCATTGAATGCACCCTTACAACATGCCATCCACTAGATGGTGTAAGTTGGCATCAGCTATAATTTAACATATATTTAACATTGTCAGCTGAACTGCCTAATGCTAATAATTCTCTGACAGGCACATGTGATGCAACAGTTTGTCAGGATACATTACAAATTGGTATCACATTTTAAAGTCCAATTCAGTCAGCTTACCTCACTCCAGACCAGCATAGTGCCAAATACCACTTGCAAGCCATCAAAGAAGTTGTCTCCTATTATGATGACTGTAGCTCCACCGGTAGTCCAACCTTCACTCGGGCTGATGGCTTTTATGCACGGAGTAGCTGCTTGAACAGTGAACAAAAAAGGAACTTCAACATTTCGTCTTGGTTTGCAAGATCCCATCCGCAATGACAAATCATGCAAAGCAAAGTCACAAAGTGAATGATTGCTCTCTGCGGTTTAGTAAAAAAAGCACAATCATATCTCAGCATGTTCATGTAGTAAAAGCCAACCATTAACTGTTTTACACTGCAAAGGCCAAGCAGCAGTTTGCTACCACACAAGAAAAATAGCTTGATGTAGCAAATTATATGTCAGGGCAAATATGGCTATTACAAATGATTAAGCATTGCATGCATGTGGCATGTCAATTTATCTGCTTTGCTTTACAGATCTAAGCAGAGTCAATCAAAAGGTTGTTGAGGGAGATGGAAGAGCAAATGCTCTGAATTTCGATTCCTCATAAGCAGCTAATTGGGTTGGGTTTTTCATCCGCGAACTTTGCCTTTGGTTCAAAACTTCATTTTCCCCTGTCATTCTGTAATTACTACTTTTCACTTTTCATCACAAAAAATCAAAAGCGCTATATTAATACTTCTGTCAAAGGTACACATTTTACATCTAATATTGTTTGTCGACATGAATCCATGAGCCATTTACTTGACCTCTCTTTGTCTCTAGAGTCCTCACATTTGCATGAGTTATTACAAGTGGAGCAGACTTAGCACAGGAGGCAGCAGCTAGCACCAGTCAATCCAGGCTAGCAGCAGCCACTGAACTGCAGCAATGCTCAGGCTGAAGGCTGCACAGCCTCTGAGTGAATCGCTTTGTTCTTTACTTTGATCAGCCCTTCTTTACATGGTGTTGACAGACCTTTTTTTTTATCAGCTTTGATGGTCTTTTGTATGCTGACTTTCATGCAAAGCAGCAGATCCTGAGATATACACTTTCGCTATTACAAGTAAATTCTACTGCTGGATTTTTTTTACCTGCAGTTGGTTTCAAACGGAATACCTCATTGTCTTCCAATAACCTAAATATCACAACTCCCATTTTTACTGAACACTAACTTTTCTTCATAAATTCCCCCCAAAAATGTACTTCGGCTTGATTTGCACATCTATTTTAAAGGATAAAATGCAATCTCATAAGAAACATTCTCCAGTCTTTCTTATTTTGCCAAAAAATATTATAGATTTATTTTCAGGAAACTGAAGGTTATTTTCAACCTGTACTATATTGAATGTACAAGATATGTTTGTGCGACTAACTGATTAACACTGAATATACTGATTAGATATTAAATGGCCATCAATGCAATACAGAAAATACTTCAAGTTTGTTTGAAGGTTCCTCCTTACATTTTTCTCCTATCCGCTCCTGAAGATCTGGAGCTTGATTCCACACTGACCACCACTAAGTGCCCAATTGCCATTCGTGTGTGAGCTCTAGACAATTAGTTTTGGCAGGCTATTTGACCACTCAGTCATAGCTTCAGTCAATGTCTGCAGCAGGAGTCACTGAATAGTGATCAAGATTAGAATTTGGCCTGATTTTTTTCCTCTCTCAAGTTCAAGGTGTCCGAGATCAATTGTAGCACATTTGATCTCGGCCACCTGGCTGAGATCAGCTGACTGAGCACAAATCCACAGAATGGGATTCAAACCTAGACCTTGGTCTGTGTTCAGTTCCACCCTTAACAGTGGCTTCAACCAACTGAGCCATTTCACATCATTGCTCATGATTTATGTAGGGAAGGTTAAGGGAAATATTTTCTGCATCTCATGGATGAATGCGTAGTCCATTCTCCTTATATGCTTCTGGTAAATAATTTGAATAATTGAAAAAAAACTTTTGGAGAACTTATTTAAATTTTTGAAACTTAAGTTAATGCTTAATATAAGAATAAATAATCCTTGCATTTGATATAGCGCCTTATCAGGTCTTTGAGATGTCTCAAAGTGTTTCACAGAATATACTGTAAAGTGAATTGACTGTATATTTTGTGGACAAAATTGCGCACAGCAGTTGTCCCGTGAACAGTGACCAATTTTTTTTAAGGGATTATTACTCCCGGAAAATTGATCCGCCAATCGACTAACAACTGGGTTCCTACTTATTGCTAGGTAAACAGAGGTGTGTGTCGGAAGAAAACTTGCCCAACGTTTTGTTTTGCCCTGCCCAGGAATTGAACCCAGGTCTTCTTGCTTGCGAGGTGAGTGTTCTAACCACTAAGCTACAGGCCTCCTAACACTTTCTTGGGCATCACCAAATACGACGTATCCCTAGATCAGAAATGGATAATTTCTATGCTGTTTTGCTATATCACAAATAGTTGGCATTTCTGTTGTATTCACTGGTATTCATCAAAAGTGTAGTAAAAAGAATTGGCAAATTGAAGGATATTATTTGAATCGTGGACCATTTCTATTTGTTTCACAAATCCTTAAAAAAAACAAGATTACATTTTTATAGTGCCTTTCATGTCGGAAGGACGTCCCAAGGCGCTGGACAGTGTACAGCAAAAAAGAAGCGCACTGAAATGTTATATTGCTCTGGAGATAATCAAGTCAACGTTTATGATATTTAGGACATTTTCCATGTTATAATTGTTATCTGCTGATATTCTACCTAATCAAAGCAGCAATTTATAGTCAGCTATTAGCTATTGTTGTGCAGGACACTAAAGACATTCTACCTTTCTTTGTTTGCTTTTATGTTGGACTAGTGGAGGTTATATTTGCTGATTCCATGTGCATTTCCCTCTGCAACAGAGGATCTGAGCACACACTGAGAACCTGCCCTTAACTATTGCTGTTGACTTCATGCTAATAAGTTCATACAAATTTTCATTTCTGAGGCTTCCAAGTGACATTTGCTTTTCTTAATTGCAGAGAGATCGTTTGAAAAGGATCAGCTCTCTAAAGACTGACAAGTCTCCTCAAAGGGAGTGACCTTCATCAGCACAGCCAATTATGGCAAATAATTCACACAAAAAAATTACAGTAAACAAATTTACTTTGGAGGTGAGAGAAGAAAAGAATATAGGATTTGCTGCATGCACAAGAGGCTGCTGTCTGGCAGCTGTGGCCTGACAAGCTCGCACATCACTGAGGAATTTGCAATGCTTCTCAGCAGAGAACACGGGTCTGACTCCGCCTGTGCCTTGAGCCATCTTCCTTCTGCCTGTATTTGCATACATTTCAATGCACATACAGAGAAGGAACATGTGTTCAATGGGAACCATGGCAAAATGAATTACACAGACAGTGTTAGAGATCTAATGATATACATGCACAATGCACTCAAGCAGATGATAGAAATTGGAAAGAGCAGATGAAGACAGCAGCAGAAGAACTGCAAATCTGTGCTTTTCCTTCCTTCTGTTTGGTAGGGAAAGTTTAGCTGGGCATGCAAACTATGCCTCTTATTTTACAATGCACTTTAGGTTAAAAGCTGATCATCAGCACGAGCCAAAGCTGAGCAGCACATGATTTAATACAGGTCTTTAGTTTACTGAAAAACGAGTAGCATTTTTCTCAGTATAATTGCTCTTTATACTTTTACAGTCACATCATCCTTCAATTTGCCAACTCTTTTTTACTACACTTTTGACAATTCTATATATTTGGAACTCCTACAATGTGTTCTTAGTTCATGTTTCCCTAATAGTCAAAGCAAGAAATTGTTTGATATGGATTGAGAACCAAAAAAGTGTCTTTATAATAATAATAATAATCCATGCATTTGATATAGCGCTTTTCACGTCGGGAGGACATCCCAAAGCGCTTCACAGAACACACTGTAAAGTGAATTGACTGTATATTTGTGGGCGAACGCGGCAGCCAATTGCGCACAGCAATGTCCCACAAACAGTCGTAGATTGAAAATGACCAATTTAATTATTGTTTTTAGTTTTTTTGGAGGGATTATTATTAGGCGTGTGGATTAAGGAAACTTGCCCAAGGTTTCGCCCTGCCTGGAATTGAACTCAGGTCTCTCGCTTGCAAAGCGAGTGCTCTAACCACTGACTACAGGACTTTATGCCTTTTTGTCCAATTGACTTCTACATCACATGCTGTTTAAAACTTCTCTAGTGTCAAGAAAAGGGATTGTGCTTTTCTTTGAAAGGCTTATGGACTGTAGCCTCTGTCTTGTGTCACATTATTAAATCCAATTAAATATGTTTTTATCACATCTTCTTCAATTTTTGTTCTGTTCTTTAGCTGTCCCTGTACCACGCATCTATCCCTAAATCTGACGACAGTCAAGTGGCCTATTCCAAAACCTCTAAAACTGTAGCAAGGAAGTGCGTGAGAAAGGCTAACCCTCGCTCCCTTAGGATAATTGTCTCCCCAGAGATCCCAGATTAATTTGTTTGGCAAATCATGGAGGAGAATCTCTATCTGACCACTTCATAAATGTAGGTCCTTTTTTAAAAAAACAATTGAAATTAATTTTCATGCAAACACAAAAAAAATCTTTCTACACTTCACAAGGGGTCCAGTGTACAAGTCCTGATCTTGATGAGATACAATTGTTTTCCATGTTTTGATCTACAAAGTCTACGACTTGCACGTTATTTCTGAAAATCCCCGGTGGTCGTGTTAATGACGCAAATGGAACACTCTTGCACCATTCCAGTCATTAGCAGTTCATTTCCATAATAATGTGGCACACACTTGTGCCAGGTCCCAAATCAGCACAATGGTGCTGAAAATAGCACATTTTGCATGATTGTGCAAAAAAATTGCTGCAGCGGCAGATTTTGTGCTGGTGCAGACATTTAAAAATCATGCCCTTCAGTTTTTGTTAAGGATTCTTACATTAATAATTCACTGTATGTAATCATTAACTGAATCTGTATTTAGCATGTTTCTATATAACATTATAGTCGTCTTTGGTGGGGATTCAAACACGGCCAATTAAACCAATATTTGTGCCTATAGCTGCAATAGCATACAAATTAATTTTCTTGACGTCTGTTCTTGAGCCTTCAGGTGCGCTATTTTGCAGTTCTTTTAGATGCATGTGAGTACCACACACCACACACACGTGATGTCATCATATGTTTCACATGATGATGAAACACCTATCTCTGCTGGCTGCTTCCATTTAGTTGCCTGGAGCCTTGTACATGGTGCGATGGCACCACTGAAGCTGATCGCTGGCTTGTACGTCGCTTCATTTAGTTGACAACAATGCCACCCCAGTCAAGTGCTGGCAGCTCTGTGGCACTGTCATGAGATAAACCTACCATAAATCTTGGGCAAATATAACTTTTCAAAGTAAATTACTATCAACATTTAATACTTTCCAATTTCCTATAGATATACTGGTAAACCCCTCACCATACAATTTCTCCTATAATGAGTTATTCCTCAAGAGTATTATAACAGCATTTGTCACCTTTCTTTGGATTTACAATAATAAAGCACTCAAACAAGCCTAATCTTGCCTCACGAAGACTTCTTTGTTCTGCGTACTAAAATGTCTTGTAATTGTGCTTGGGATGTCCAGATGGCTGGTTGATACTCCAGCTGATAGGATTATACCTTTTACCTCTCCTAGGGCCATCTGTTCCCTTTAACTCACTAAAACCCTGCAGCCTGCATTGAGTTGTGTTTATTGCATAAACCTAACAGCATTACAGACACTTGGCATGCAAATCATTACAGTGCTGCAGGCCTCATATTGGAGTGGGGGGGGGGGCACTGCTGAACATTGAAAGAGTGGTGGTAGAGTAATTTACAAAATTAGTGACAAAAAAGATTAAAATTTGATTCTCCACAATGCTTGAAGGTACAGCCATTGTTTTTCTTTTCCCATCAGCTGTATTCAGCTACTGTAAATAATCTGCATTTTGTAAGCTCTGAAGGATTCAATGGCAGGCTTCCACAGCAGCAGTAGCAACAGCAGCAGCAGGGGGAATTAGTTCTCTTGGAAACGGTCTGTGAGTGTGTATATACTGCTGGTGAATATTAGATGATTGGATAATGAGGTGTTAGCGAAGAGAAGCTGCATTCAGCCACATATCTGCAGTTTTCACAGGGCACTTTCTGATAAAAATGCGTTGCTAATTCAAAGCATACTGTCTGTTCAGAGCACCAAATATTCTGCACTTTGTAGGTATGGAATTACATTTTATAACTGAATATCCTGCTTTAAATTGAGCCATTCATGTGCTTTTTCATACCACCCAGGGAGCAGTGCAAGGGTGAATTTTACAATGATTCCTTTAGTTGAAGGGTGGGTGGTTAGAAAGTCAATGGGATGGAATTAAATTATATTTACAAGTTGCCATCTTCGTATTTTGAACTCGTTCAAATTCTATGTAAATATGTATACATAGTGACCGAGGTGGCAAGTAGGGGTAAGAAGAAAAGATTTTAAAGGTCATAATATTCATGATCTTCTGTACAAAATTGTTCTATTTTATTTCTGTGCAAATGACACTTAACCCAAGCTTTTCTGACTCTTTAGAAAGGTATGAGATTTTGCTTTGCTTCTGCTACTGATGATGGTTTCATTAGAAGACTTAGTATCAAGAGTCGCAAGCATGGTTGCTTTAACCCATAATGTGGCTGGTTCCATCCCAGGGGAGGAATAGTACTGGGTATAGGATTCAGCCTTTTTAATTGAGGGCCTCATTAGTGTTTCGTTGCTAGGCAAAACACACACCTACTTCAATGAATACAATGCAGATAAACAACACGTCACAAGCCACAATGACTCCTCAATTCACTATAATCATTACTTCTGTTCTTCTGAAGTTCTGAAGTACACATTTGTTCAAAAAAAAGCGAGTGCTTCAGGAGATGTAATTACGATAGATTCATAATATACTTGAATTTTATTCAACTAACAAGATCCTAACTAGAATGAGTATTTGTTTATTTTGAAGAGATATTAGTATCTAAAATTTGCATTTTTATACAATTCCTAAAGGTGGTGACTCATGCTGGTGTTGAGTTTCTGTAATTGCTGGTAGCCTTCTGGTACCTTACCCAAGTGATCATTGGGTAAACTAAATGATGGCAGGTGATCAATTTGGGGTACATGAGAAGTAAACCTGATTTGGCACTACCAGACAAGGTCAATGAATAGCAAACTGGAGCAAAAACTCTGATTTGTTTTTCTTTCTAGATCAGCTAATTCAACAAAAAATATCAAAAGCTTGGATCATCCTGGTCCGTGTGGCTCAGTACTATATCACATATTATCTACTCGCTCTGCCATCTACAGATTCATTATTTTCCATTTTACGCTTATTTTTTTTTAAAAAATCATCCGAGATTACCTCGAGTTATTAATTATTGCAAATGTAATTGTCAAACTTTGAGGGTTTTCACTGTGAAAGTATTCATTGATTCGGATACTGAAATGAATAGCATTTTGAGTTGCTCCAGAAAATGTTTGTGCTTTGTCATTACAGTTCAAAACCTGAAGTCTGTAAGCATGCTTTATTTTTTCCAATGTGCTTTCCTTCCCCCACCCCAAAAACATAACCTTCACCAAATGAGACGAACTTGACTTCCTGTTACTTTGCAGTTCCCACGAATTGTACTGTGACTGGAGCAGAAGAGGCTTCAGTATTTTGCTTCACTTTATACTGGATTTCAGCAGTTCTTCAGGTTAAAAGACAATCGTCTGCATTTCTCCACAAGTAACCTTCAGGTTGCAGGCGAACCAAGCAATCAGCTAATCATATGTAATCGGTTGGAAGCAAAGCATTTTCGTGCTGTTATACTCCTACGAGAACACCATAGCTTTCATCTGCAACAGCAGGGCTCAGCAACAGGAAATTGACCTCACAGTAAATTCTTTACAGATTTGATCATGCTTTTTTTACCATCAATTGTAACGTACAAACCTGCAAGTGGAGTTTTGTATTGCTGGATATGGTGAAGGCAGTTGCCAAAAGTAAATACAAGTAATGGGGATAGATGCTTAAAAAACTCCAAAGGAAGATGTTTCAAATACACTAAAGATTTTGTGATTTTAACGGGGAAAGTATAGGGTGACAAAAATGATGGGCAGAAAGTATTAAAAGAAGTAGCATTGACTAATTTGTCTTGTGATTTTTCTCTGACCATTTGAGGTTAAAATGATTTGGCCAAAAGTACAATGTAGAGTTTGTACTGTTGAAAGAATAGAAGTGTGAAATATAAATGGAGAAATCTTCCACAAATCATAAAACTCCATGTAAAATGTATGATGCCTACCATTTTCCAGATAAGAAGTGGCCGTACCTTCTGATGGGTCAAGTCTGCGGGCTCGCCTTCCATGCTTAGAGTTGTTGTGTACAAACATGTTGTCTGAAACAGCCAGCACATGGCCATCAACATTAACTGTTGTTGATATAACAACCTAGAAATAAAGAATACATTAGTTAGGGCACAGTTAGTGTTGTGCAAAAACTCTGCAAAGTGCTGACACCTTAATGAGCTGAAAAGAAATACAAGGGCCTTATTTTACTGTTAAATTAAACTGTCTTTGCCGAGAGCATGGAGTGGTGCCAGAATAAAGATGCTCCTTTCAAGAACAGTTTATGTAGTTGCTATAAATACCTGTCATTCATGTCAGCCTCTGTAAAAGCTTTCTCTTATAATTGTGTCTCTTAAAAACCCGCCACACTAATTACAATTTAATCTGCCTATTATGTTAACAAATGAATGCAATTCATGGGAATATTCCACTCACCATTATCAGGCCCTAAAACACCCCTCAAGCTACTCATTTAAATAGTTGCTGTTTTCATTGATCTATTGATATATTGATTAACTAGTTTATCTAATTAGAACTGCCTCACTTGAGAATGGGTTCACATGAAAGGAGGCAGGGATTTTGAAATTACCACACACTCTTTAATAAATCAGTAGGCTTTCCTGCTTTCTCTTGGTAAATTATCCTAGGTCAATTTTCCACTTGCATTTAATCACTAATAATGAACTTTTTTGCATCTGAAAAGAAAGGGCTGAATATGAATAGTGAAAGTGTTTTCAATCAGTGAAAAATAAGCCCCTCTCAAGTTCATTTTGATGGTGATTGACCCTGGTATGTCAATGGAATTTCCTCCTTTGAGTGAAAGAGTTTCATTCTGCATCCAGGTTCAGGGACTGGCCATAGGATAGATGATGGATAGGCTTCTCTGGCTTCCAGCTGCTTCTTCGTTGGAAGGGAAAGAATACAAAATGCATGACCTTACTTTAGACCCTACTTCTTAACAAATAGAAGTAGAATCTGCTTCTGTCCAATTTCTTACAGAAATCCCATCACTTGCTTAAAAGTTCACGAGGAAAAGGGAAACACCGATTGTATGAACTATTAAAGTCTTTTAAAGTTTGTTCAGAAAGCAACAACCCATTTTTTTTAGTCCATATCCTAACTACAACTATTGTGTGTGTATAAAAAACAGATCTGGAAAGCATTTCCAATAGTCAAAGTGGCAAATGCTGTGTAACTAAGAACATCCAGTTCTAACCCACCTAAATTTGATGAGCTCCAAAACTTTGAATCACTACACTCAAGGAACAAAGGGTGAACATTGTGTTAAGGTCAAACTCTCTAACCTGGGGTTGGCGTGGAGTACGTCCTGGAATGTTCTGACTTCAGTGTGTAAATAATGCTGGCATTATTGCAGAGCTATTGCTGACAGAAGTTATGTAAATCAATTTGCACAAACATTTTCTGTGTTTGTGATTCTTGGAAGGTTTAAGAAAACCCTTTCAATTCATGGATTTAGTTCAAAAATAAAATTCCACCTTTTGATTTTACCATGTACTGTTCTTGCTGCCATTCTTTTATAGACAGCTGAACACTGCTTGCAGTTTACCAAGCTAAATACATGATAATATTACCCTGAATGGATTTGTATGCCAATCACTACATTGTAGTGCACAAATGCACTACAATTAAAAATATATTAGATATATCAACTCGTACATTTAAAATTTCCAGATTATACAATTAGGGTATAATTCGGTGGAATCTCAATATAGACTTGATTTATTTTCAAAAATCATACCTTTTTGCATTAAATAGTTTTGATTTGTGTAATATAGAAGTCAGACTGGGCTATAAAATCCCAACCATTTTACTCTGTCACTATATGTAGGTCATTGGCTGAGGGAAAGATTGCTGTTCAGCACAAAAGAATCTATGTTCCTTCAATCTCCCACAGTGCACCTCAAGAAAGGTGCTGAGGCAGTGAAATCAGTGAAATGATTGTCTGGGGTCTGACACCCAGTTAAGTCCAGTTAAACCTTCTGAGAAGCAGGGAGATTAGCTGAAGAGACCCGTGAAAGTCCTTCCAGTGACTAGTGGCTCCATAGTCGACCACAAGATCGCTGGTGACTGATGCTTCTTTTAGTCATCAGTGAGACAAAGAGGACATTTCCACTCATTTCAGGTTTGACCTTCTGCTCCGCGTGAATGGATCAATATCACCAATGCCACTTGTATCTGAGATGCATGAAAAATGGAAACACTGCTACATTTTTGAAGGGAGAATTTTATCCTGCTATAAACTTCTTCCGTCCAATCATTTTGGCTAACATATTTGGCAGTACTCCAAGTTGGCTACAATGTGTCTCCTTGTTTAGTTAACCACAAATATATTTCTTAAAACTATTTTCAGATAGCATGATTCACGGTTTACTTCTGCTGAATCTGAACATTGACTGAATTCCACCATATTTAGTCACCTACTGACAACATAGTTAAAACTTTCCACTCTGGGAACAATTCTTTTCTTTAAATCAATGGTCTTTTTTAATACATGTCCAAATAGTCATACCGTAATGGTGATTTGCATTATATTACACTCCAAAATAATGGTGTGTAATGATAAAGAAACATGTATTTATAAGAAAAATGCCACCTTATCCAATAAGAAATATAACAAACATAAGTTGGTGTTATTTTGGAGATAAAGGAATTATCCGGGAAATACAAAATAAAGATCATTTCAAATAACCGACTGGTCAAACAGCTTCTGAAAGAGATAGAATGGTTAATGCTAAACATTAAATTAATGTTTCTTCTCACAGATGCTATCAACCCGTTATCTATTCCATTATTTTCTGTTTTTATTGCGTATTAGGTATCATCATGGTTGTTTTGAAAAATTAATTAGTATGTAAAAGGTTTACATTAAATATAAAGTAACTTTCCATTGATACCATATTTTAACTCTACCTATTCCAAGGATAGAGGGTAAACAATGTACAGGCTCTGGATGCCCAGTTAGATGAATAAATCACATTGACAATCTGTCCTGGTCTCCTTATTTTGTGAAGTAAAAAATCTGGAAGCAGTCAAATGGAAATAGCATTTTTAATGACTCAGACAAAATTAATCTGAATGAAGTATTCCTTTCAATCTAATATTTTTAAAATTCTAGAAATCATATATTAACACTAACAATTTTAATAAGATGATACCTTTTTATGATAAAAGATATTATTAAATGAGCATTTTTCGGTTTGCCAAGTTATTAATTGATTTTGTTAACTTCCAATAATTTAAAGAAGGTATGGGTTTACCATTAGCTGTTTGTAGGACATTGCTGTGTGCAAATTGACTGCCATGATTGGCAGTTAGTGTACATTACAGGAAATCCTATGAAGTGCTTTGAGACGTCCTCTCGACATGAAATGTGCTATATCAAATGCAAATATTATTATTACTATTAAGTTATGTTTATTACACCCTCTTCATTTAGAATGTAAACTGTATTTTACCTGAATATGCATTATGACTAAAGTGCGGTCCCTGCCAATATGGATTAAAGTGGTCCATGTTTTTGGTTTGGTACCAAAAAGAATGATTTTGAACTCCCTGGATACACGAGGTGCTTCAGTGTACACCAGGTCATAGATCTGTGCCTCTGACTCTCCACATAAGAGTTTTCGATCTCTGCTATGATGTCAGTGAAGTGCTAAGAGGAGGTAAGGAAAATCGGCAGGTGTGTTAACCAGGGACCCGCTCCTTTACCTACATGTAGCTGGTTAAAGACCATCAATGCCAGAGGCCTGTGGTCAGATCACACGTCCCACCTCTGTCTGAAAATAGTGAAGAGCACAAGGTGCTCTAAAGAAGGGAGGGAATCAAATTTATGAAAAAAATAACTAAGTCATCTATTTTATACCAAGCACTGGATATCCGAAAAATAAATTCCTTCCAGATGTTGTGTTTTTTTTATTAGAAATGTTGCTTGCATTACCTGGAATCTGCGCATATCCCTCGGGTTCCCTGCATTCTTCAAGCAGTTCTGATTGCACTTGAGGAAAAACTTTAAGAAGAATCTGAAATGACACACAGAAGACAAACGTATTAAAAATACATGAAAATGATAAATTGCTGCATTGACTGATGAATAAATTAGATTATCATACACAACAAAAAGGCACACATTTACATGTGCGGCTCACACCCTTTGCATCCTTTATTTTTTTTCATTTGATGTTGTCCACATTATACCTTGTATCTGCATCTGCCTTCCACACAAGTCATTTGATATTCCACCCACCAATTTTTACCAGCAACTACTCTGCAATTAAGCCAAACAAAATCAATACTCAGGTAAATTACACACACCTGTGACCATGCTTCAATTTAACTACATCAGAATAGGACCTAACAAGGTGAGAGCATACAGCAAAGTTATGGTTCTGTCAGGCAATTAGGTTTCACTTCGGGGACATACGCACAGGGCAATTATGCCGCACATTACAACCTGGCTAATCTTCTGAACAAATGTCATCTGTGAGAGACTAGGTGAAGACAGTTCATTTGCTGTCTAAATGTTTCTGCTCTTTAACTGTCACCCTTTTTACGTAGTGTATCATAACGGAACTTTTATTCAATCTGAAATATTTTAAATACATCCTGAAAGGATTTACTCTCTTAAAAAAAACACTATTCACCTTTACAAAATCTACAAATGGGGGGAGTGGGTAAGATTTAAAACCGTCATGACAGTTGAAATGAATTGGTTAATAGTTCTATAGCATATTGCTTTCACTTTGTCAATATCTGCACAAGGTCACAAATGAAGAACAAAATCCAAATTCCCTTTACAACAGTAGTGACATTACTGTAACATGTCAGTATCTAGCTCCCCTGAATTTGTAAGCAGCGGTATTATTCTATCTCCCGCTGAACATAAACTTTATGCATACTTTGGTACTAATAGAACTGAATTTTTTTTTAAAAATCTTCCCACGTGGGGGGAAAAGCAATGCAAAACAGCAATACAGATATCCTTTTATTTCTAACCTGCCCTAATAATGACAATGTTCAGTTACGAAACTGATACATTTTTCTAAGAATTGTAATCCTGCATTAAATCAGTGTCAACCATGTCTCTAACGTTTTGATCTGAAACTGTCAAAGAGGAATGTTAGTAAGGCAGCTTGGGTATGAGGTGCTGGTCTCCTATGGGGTATTGGCTGTACCAGGCCATGCATCAAGAAGTCAAAAGGCATTTCTAGTCGTTTGCTCTCTTACCCTTCTAACGGGGACTTCACAGGTGATATCTGACAGCCTGCATGAATTTGTGTTTTCAGCCACCAGTGCTCAAAGGATTTACGTGCTTGTGTTGAAAGCAAAAGAAAATCTTTTTGTGTGGCAGAAAATCTTTGACTTCACCACCAATAAACTCTTTATTATAGCCAAACACAGATTTGCTGATCACAGAGAGGTGATAAAAATCCCGTGTTGTCATTAGTGCATTATGCTTAATTGTGTACAGTATGTTTAAGTTGCATTGGTTGGCCCATTATCAAAATGACCATTATGTACACTAATTCTCTGACCCTGTGTTTATTTCCCTAAAGAGTCATAATCTTTCACAGTAGGTTTTAGAATAAATCAAGCTTGAAATATAGCCTTTATTTACTTCTGCTTCTCTCTGGCTTGGTGCTCGGCTCCACTTCAAGCTGAACCGCTGGTTCTGCACAACAATGCCACCCACCAATGCCGGAGTGGAAATAGGTAATGTAAGAGGTCCTTGAATTGTTTTTGTTTTATTGGGCAATGTAACTCATTTGGAAATATCCTCTCTAATCCTCAATAAATTCAACCATTCAGTACAACAAGCCAAATTGGAATTTCCACATGGCTGAGCACTTATGTAATAGTAGTTCATTCAAGATCAACACGGCATTCATTAACCCTAAACTTTGCATTCACACTACTGGCCTTGTCAGCAATGGCAGATATTTATAACACTGTACATACTTGAAACAGAAAATGAAAAAAAGTAGCATTTTTGCCAAGAAAGGCAGGATTTTATAGCAGAGTAATAAATACTGAATGTTTTATTAACAACCAAAAAAGCTGGGGGTCTGTCATTTTCTCTTTCATGCATTTGGCTCACTGTTTGTGTCGGCAATATCCCCAAATTCCTTATCTGCTTATGACGTGTTTACGAGCCATGTTGATGATACAAATAATGCTACATTCTAAGAGCCGAAGGTTTGGACTTCCGCAGCCATTTTCAGAGCCGCTTCAATTGGTGCATGTTTGAACTATGAATTGGTTCATTTATTTTTACTTTTATGAAGTTGATTAGCAAGAGCTTTTCTCTTATCTGATGAAAATCATTTTAATTGTAGTGTTAGACTCAAGTGTAATATCCATTACATTATGTGCTGTTTAAATTCTACATGGGTATTGTGTAAATTGCTCCTTTGTGAGTGTGGAAGCAATTATTATTAAACAGCACTCCTAAATGGCTACAGAACTTTGTGGTGTTGTTCAGACTATCAGAAACAAAGCAGTCTGTTTAATTGTAATTTAATGGAATATCAACGAGTCGGTGGCATTAGATGCTGGCAAACGAGAGCAGGAGAGAAAAATTAACTGCAATTATGTTTGATTAAAGCTATCCTTCTCAATAATCAGCTATCCTGACAGGCCATGGGGCTCTTGTGGGTTTCAGGATGGCAAAAGGTGTTGAGCAATATTAGGGCCAATAAAGGAGATATTAGCATAGCTAATTACAGCAGCACAAAACCTGTAAAAGGGACCTCTGTGTATTGTAATGTGTGAAATAATTGGCTGAGTCCGTTATCAATTACATGAGGAATGAATTTGGTTTGTCACTGAAAAGCTGATGAGATGCATTTCATTTGACACTGCCCCTCTCCCCAATGTTTTGATGTAACTAAGGCCTTATCAGCTTTTATCAAAAGCTGCAACTTTCCAGTAGCCAAATCACTGATAAAATAATCTTGCCAGCATGTGTTAGGTAATTAATACGACTCATCCTCACTGCCTTGCTTGCTACTGCTGGTTTTCGCCTAACTAAAGCCACTAATCATGTAATAATGATTTCTTTCCCTCTGGTCAAAGGAGAAATAGATTAGCTCTTTAGAAATGCAGCTGGCTTGATGTTTAAACTGTTGTGCTCCATGGCGCTAGTAATTAAGGAGAAAAGTAAAAATTTTGGACATTTAGTTTTGTTTGTTTTTCTCCCCTCTCTTTTACCCACACTTAGTAGCAGAGAAAGGAACACACTGGACTTCAGATTATCTGAACAACTGAGGCAATAAAGAATTAGCTTCAATAAGTAATGCTTCTAGTAACTGGAATTCAGCAACAGCTGTTAAAAATGACATACACTCAATGGTCAAATAGCACAGGCTTGCTGCCTAACTAGGTGGTCATAGGTTTTGAGTCCCAGGGTTACCTATCATTTGGGACTTGCCAATGAATGTTGAGACCAATTTCTTTTATCAGTTCTCATCCTGGCCACTAGGAGGAGAACCGTAAAGTGACAAGTTGCCACTTCTTAAGGTGATGGAAAAAATTGACACTACCAGCTCCCCCTATTAGAGTCACATCTCCTGTCAAATAATCGCCAAGCGGCAATGATGGTTGTCATGGAAAAGTCTGGGGACCAGGCTGTTGGAGACGATGTGGCATTGAGTGCCTCCACCTGGGAAATAAAGGAGGGAGGGGGGAGTGGGATCAAAACAATAAGGAAATGACATATTTTCGGATAAATCCACAAATTGGAGAATTATCGGTAAATAATTCCAAACTCTTTTGTCTTGGATATGAGGGAAACGAGAAAATACCTGCAGAAAGAAATCTTGTATTACTACAGGACCCACCGTGTGGTACCTTTGGGTTAAACATCACAATCGATTGTCAAGCACTTTCTCCTATGTCATTGTGAGTCAACTTTGCGACACCAGTGAGCATTTCCAACACATTAAACCACTTGAGCATCACTTCCATTGTTTACCAAATAACTCTTGCGTCAAAGTTTCCCTATAATATGCAGCTAATATTTATTATTGCCTTTTTCAGCTTCAAAACTTGTAGTGATCCATTTTAGTAACCAATGAAAATATATGATGTCTGTTTCCTTACGGTGCGTAATCTCCTAGATGTTGTTTTAAAAACTTCAATGCAAATATTGATATTCCACTTCTTTGTTGTAATGTTTAACCAATTTGGCCTTTATTGTCTTCGGGTCACCAATACAAGATATACCACAGAATTTTCTTGTAAGACGTAAATCAAGGACATATATCTATAAGAGCTGCACAATTAAAATAGGAGTTTGAAGAGTTTGTGGTGATTGATGGGGTAGTAGTCACTCTTGTGCTTCCCACCAGATTCTACTAATTAGTGGCAAGTCTTTCAGTATAGTGGCCACAGCTGTGTATGTGTGTGCACAGCCATCAGTCGCTGCAAGTATTGATTACTGAGCAATTCTAGCCGATCAGGCTCTGGTGCTTTAGAGACAATGTGCTTCCCTCAGAAAACCTGTAATGAGCAGTTCCTATACAAGAGTACATTCTGCTGACATCAGATCTCTACACTAAGATAGTACACAGGTCAATACATATTGGATTTCCAAAATGCTGGGGTCTTAATGTCAGGCCCTCTCCCTTTCTGCCACTTCTGCCATTAGCCATTATAGGGTTCACATTCTTAGTGCCACAACGGGGGAAAAAAAATCTGCTCCATTAGGCTGAATTATTTTCGAAAGATGGCATGACAAATCACTTTTGCACTGAGTTATCAAATTCTTGTACGATTCATGTTATGTATCTGAGCTACTTCTGGCATTTGTAACCTCATAATGGAATAGGCAAAGGGTCACAGAACACTCTAAATTATAGTATACAGTGAACGCAGGCAGGCAGGCAGACTTGTAAGCCTCCTTCTTGTTCTGAGAATGAGAGAATCCTAGGTTATTTGATCCGGTATTCTTGATATGCTGCATATAAATTAAAATCTGTAAGGATTTTTAAATATCCAAGGCTTGACTTGTGGTTCAACAATT